GCAGAACCATGGTCAAAACACTACAAAATGTACAGTTACATTATCAAAGAGCTACCAGAAGTGATCAAAAGCGTGCTACCAATCGATTTAGGGAGATTAGGTAGGTTAAGAAAGTTAAGTAAGTTGAGAAAGACTGCAGGAGATTGTTGCGGTCATCTTGAAGTTACAAGAATGTGGAAGATGAATTTCGATCTTAATATCTAGTTTTTAGGTATATTCGGCCACTCGATGGGAGGACATGGAGCAATCTCGATTGGATTGAAAAATCCGGAACTTTTCAAAACTATCTCAGCTTTTGCACCAATCTGCAATCCTATGAAAAGCCCTTGGGGCCAGAAGGCATTCACTGGCTACTTAGGTAAGCAAAAACTTACTTCTCATATTTTGACGTCATTTTTTAGAGTTTTGTAGAGTTGAGTGTAGTTGCACATCTAACTCTCTCATTCAAAAGTTAAGGAATATATAATAGAAAAACTCTATCTGCTTATGTGAGTAATTTTTGGACATAAATTTTTGAACGATGAAGTGCGGTGAAGTTCGTTGAGTTCCTTCTCTTCGGGCACGTAGGACATATCTTTTGGTTTAACACCGTGCGTGAAACAGTATTTGATGAGTGCTGGAATTTTTTGCTATATTAGGAGGCGTGCAGGAAACTCATTTGCAGTAACACTCTTTTTTGATAACAACGTAGTTCTTGCGAAATTTATGTATTGCTTGTATGTTATTACATAAGAGGGGCAAGACGACAGATAAATTTAAGTAACTTATACACGGTCAAATTTACGAATTCATATTGTTGTGCAGACACACTTGCGAATAGAAGCCTGCTGTCGACTACTAATCCATATTTTATGGATTGGATGTTCGATACTACAACATCAGAAACCATTTAAAGATAGTCATATTTTTGTTTAGGCACTGACACCAAAAATTGGGAGCAGTATGATTCTTCTATTCTGTTGAAGAAATACAATGGTCCGCCAAGGAACATACTAATTGACCAGGTAATTCCCAATTGTGGGAACATGCTCACAGGCCAGATTAAGTAATTTAGGGCACGAGTGATTCTTTCTTCAAAGATGGGGAACTACTGCCAGAATCTTTGCAGTCGACGGAGAAAGTGAAAGTGGAGCTACGGATGCAAAAAGATTTCGATCACAGCTACTACTTTATCGCTACTTTCATTGGGGAGCACTTCAAGCATCATGCGGCAGTTTTGAAGAAATAGAAAGAGGAAACGGAAGTTCTTGAATTCTTCTTTAATTGATAGAAGTATTTACACAATATTTGCAAAAGTCTTTGCTAGTATCTAAACTAAATTCAAACAGGAGTAGAATAAGCAACTAACACGTTCTGTTGCGAAGTTTCGTCTCTCGGACGTTGCCCCATTTTTTTCTTGTATAAAGTAAATGAGACTTTTGGGCACTACTCCGCAATCCGCGCCTCAAAATCGAAATTTTTAGGCGGACTGAGACTCCATACACATTTGTTATCTTACTCACTGATCACGATCTTATTTATTTTTAGTGCTTTATTGTAAGGTTACATTATGTAAAGGCAGTAAGTCAAAATCACAGATTCATCTGGAAAATGGTCTTTTAGGGTTATTTGGCATGCTGGGAAATATGTTATCTATTCCGTACATTAGTCTGTGATATGGTATAAGGTCCTGATTCTGTCTGTGTCTATAACTCGAGCTACGACTATCATATTGTTTTAGCATCACAATTACCATGAGGTCATATAGGGTCTGTTTGTCACACGCTGTTAAATACTTCCTTAATGTTTATCAAATAAACAAATTCAATTTCCACTCCAGCGATCCATAAGATTTTTCGATGAGCATACGTGTGAATGACAAAGGAACGTTGAAATCTATGATGTATGTGTATTAGATTGTTACTTGTTACTTATTTATTGTTAGATTGATTGCGCTTTTTAACAAATCTTTTTTTGGTTTTATGCTTTCTTATGCTGTAACCTTACATAAGACCATGGCGTGTATAGCAAATGTGATTGTATTGAAGTATGTTAGGTGACCCTAATAGATCACTTTTTGGGTTCTGTGGTTTGACCCTAATTTACATCTACCGTGAGGCTTCAACATGGCTTCAGCATCGGGGCAATGATTTTTGTGTTCAACATAGTAGGTACTCCACTCGCTCGAATTCAAGAATTCTTAGAAT